CACACTCCCTTGGAGAGTGGTGCAGTCTCCTTCTTTGGAGGTTTTTAAGCAGAGGCTGGATCTGTCAGGGGTGGTTTGATTGTGAGTTCCTGCAAGGCAGGGCATTGGACTGGATGGCCCTTGTGGTCTCTTCCAACTCTATGATCTAATAAAGCTTAGGAAGCTCAGGAGGATACACCTGAAGTAGTTTCATGTAAAGTTTTAATAAGCTATTTGTGTGTGGTGTTGTTTGTTTGTTTGTTTGTTTGTTTGTTGTTTTTAGAAGGTTACTTTCAAGCTTTGGAATCACATGAGACATACTGAGACAATTGACATTCCACCCCAGGCCTACCTATCTGTATGTAAAAGGGCATGAATTGCATTTCTTTTCTTTTTGCCATGTTTAATCAATGGCCTTCAGAACACCATGGTCTCATTCTAACTCACCTTGTAGTGTTATTGTGAGGTTGTATGATTTGTAATGCATTTTGTTCACTAAAATCTGCTACAGATATCCTCCAAAGAGATAAATCCACCATCAGTTGCATCCAGAGTAGATCCACTGAAATAAACAAGACTCTAGTTAATTATTTAAAAAATGAGTCTGATCCATGTCAATGAATTTAGGCCTAAACATATTACTTGATAAACCAACCATGAAACGGATTTTAAATTTAAGCAAAGATGCATATTACAAAGGAAACTACCATGTATGTGCTCTTTTGCAATTTTAAAGAAGTGAATGATAACTTACCATGTAATAAAGAATAGGTATCACTTAGAGGAAAAGGACATCATATTTAATATTTTTTTCGATGTCTTATTAAGATTGCATACCAGTTGCAAAATAGCTTCAAAATAGAAACAAGTACGCCATTGTGTCTCAGCTCTTCAGCCCCAAACTAGTTCCACTCATATTTTTTTACAAGGACTAGAATCCTACCTACATTTTCAATACCCATGAATAAGCAATATTAATGCAATGGGACTTATGTGTTAATCAGCATTCATAAGACTGCACTGTGAAGTATTATCTTATTAGAACACACAGAAGCATGAAATGTAAAGAAGCAAAAGCAAAAAGCAACAACAGCCCAATGTCTTAGATGAAGGAAAGTGCAAGATAAATTTGGGGGTTGTCTCTAAGATGAGACATCCTATCATTGCCAAGGGAATCCAGTTACAGTCATAGAATCATAGAATCATAGAGTTGGAAGAGACCATAAGGGCCA